TTCAACGACGCAACTTCAACCCTGAGGATGATGATGGTGATTAGCACGGTTGGCTCCGTACGGTGCGAAAAAAGTTCAACATACATACATGGTGACGATGACGATGGTGATGACTATGGAGGTTATTTAGCACTATTATCCTTCAACGCCGAGCACATTCGCTTGGAGCAGGTTGGAGTGCCCACACTTCACCCCACCACACGTGAGCTGCCCACCGACGCACCGCGGGGGGGCGTGCCAGTCGATGGTTCCGCCGGGAGATGGAACCGAATCCCGGCGACCTCCGGATCGCGAGCACGTCACGCTGCTGACCGGTGACCCCCACCGCCGTGCACAGAATTGAGAAACGCTCGTACGTACGTACGCTGGACATCTTGCGCGCACCGTACGTAGCCAACCGTGCGAAACTAGTTGACGGTCAAGTACGTACGCACGCTGGAACTTCTCGCGTAGCTCGTCGGAGATTACCGTCGAGTTAACAGCTACAAAAAATATTGGCTGCGAGAGCCCTCCTGCAAGAAGAACAGATATATAGATGAGAGCGAGCGGAATGATTGGGATTTTTAGAATTTTTTTCCGGTCCAATGGGCAAAAACAGGCGTCAAAGAAGCAACCCGCCACCCCCCCCCCCATGCTGCCCCCCCCCCACCCTGTCCCCCCCATCACATCGTGAAATTAGCCGCAGTAAAAAAAATGTTTGATAAAAACCCAATACCCGATGCCAGGGCCAAAATAAATCGGGCCGCTCCACTTTGTCGTGAGCAGGAGCAGAAAAGAACGGAATATTTATACGATGGCGGAGGGAAGTGAGCGCCAAAGTAAACGCTCCCGATTTTTAAACAAACGGACGCTCAGTGTAGTTTCTGGATGCCCGTGTGCAGCAAGATCCCACACGCCGATTGATTAACTTTCTGCGAAGGCCTCGCAGTGAACTAAAACGAAAAACTATTTTCTATTTTACCTGCCGAGGCCCCACCGAGCTATGAAGATCTTTGGTCTGAAGCGACAAGGCTGCCGCAAAACGACAGCTAAACCAGGTGGAGTATCATCATCGCGTGGACATTCATAGCGGCCAGATACACTAAATGCGGAGAAAAAAAACAATTGGCACCTATGAAGGCCGGCACGGTACACGAGGGGGTGGGTGGCCAGCACCACGCCCGGCCGCCTTTGTCTCCCCCAGTGGCGATGTCTACACACCGCAATCTGTAGTCATTTGAGGCTGAGTCGAACTAGGGGAGGCCCAAGACCGGTTCAGATAATCGTCACTGGTGTTGGCCGTGAGCGGGAATCGAACTCAGGTCGCCGGGTTCGTAGCGCCGCGTGCTGACCAGCTACAACTACCGCTCCCCTTTGACTGTCTTGAAAAACAAAAAACACAACAACACACAACACATACACAACACACGCAACACACACACAAACACACACACAAAACACACAACACACACACAACACACACAACACACACACACAACACACACCAACACACACAACACACACACACCACACACACAACACACACACAACACACACGTAACACACACAAACACACACACAACACAACACACACACAACACACACGCAACACAACACACACACAAAACACACACAACACAACACACACAAACACACACACAACAAAGATCCCCCGTATAGCCTTAACAGACTGTAGGGGCAAGTGCTGTTAGCGAGCATCTATGAAGGCCGGAACGGTATACGAGGGGGTGGGTGGCCAGCACCACGCCCGACCGCCTTTGTCTCCCCAGTGGCGATGTTTACACACCGCACCAGGTACTCATTTAAGGCTGAGTCGACCTAGGGGAGGCCCAGGACCGGTTCAGATAATCGTCACTGGTGTTAGCCGTGAGCGGGAATCGAACCCGGGTCGCCAGGTTCATAGCGCAGCGCGCTAACCGCCACACTACCACACACAACACACACACAACACACACACAACCACACAAACACACACAGCACACAACACACGGGCCCATTGTCAAACTCCGCTCCGACCCCCCCCCACACACACGGACAACAGAGATTGGGCGCGAGCGTTCAGAGTCGAGGCTGCAGGAAAAAACATCTCGAATCTTAAGCAAACACGCAAACCCCCCCCCAAACTCCACCCCTACACTCCGTCTGGTGAACGGGATACGAGAGGACTGACGATTGGCAAAAGGTTTGAAACGAAATCTCGCAGAAGCTACTTGCACGTTGAGACACGTCCCTGTACGTTCAACTTCTTTCACACCGTACTTAGACACACCGTGCTAACCGGAGGTGCATGTATGTACGTTCAACTTCTCTCACACCGTACTTAGACACACGTGCTAACCGGAGGTGCATGTATGTACGTTGAACTTCTTTCACACCGTACGTAGCCACACCGCGTTAATCGAAGGTACCTTGGCAAGGGAAGCAACATTTTTAAGTGAAGCGTAATACCAATAACAACAATAGTAATAATCGCCAAGTTATAACGTGGCCAACGACAATAAAATTTGTCACGTGTCGAGATGTAAAAGTGGGTTAAATGAACTCGAGTTTGACCGTGGCTGGGTGAGCAAACGAGCAGTGGGGTTTCCAGAGGCCCTTTTTTTACGGAGCCAAGCCAAAGACACGCGCCGTTTAATTTCCTCTCAATTAACCCTGCTGCGTTCAAGCGAACGCTGAGCAATGTCCTGCGTTGAACCGTGCAGATCGGTTGCTATTTTGGATTGTTGTACAACGTAGTTGGGCATTGACGAGCCGTTAAACGGAACACCAACGGAGGGGGAGATGTTAACGACCTCGCCTGGTATACAGTAGGACGTGGGTTCGATCCCGACCCTGACGCCTGCTGCTGTATATTTGGAGTTTGCGTGATTCTCTTCATCATCATCACGGTGGCTAGGAGATGTTTACTACTCGCCTGGTATGCAGGAGTCGTAGGTTCGATCCCGACCCTGACGCTGCTGCTGTATATTTGGAGTTTGCGTGACTCTCTCTCTCATCATCATCACGGTGGCTAGGAGATGTTAACGACCTCGCCTGGTATACAGGAGGACGTGGATTCGATCCGACCCTGACGCCTGCTGCTGTATATTTTGAGTTTGTGTGTCTCTCATCATCATCACGGTGGCTAGGAGATGTTAACGACCTCGCCTGGTATACAGGAGGTCGTGGGTTCGATCCTGACCTGATGGCTGCTGTATATGTTGAGTTTGCGTGACTCTCTCTCTCTCTCACATCATCACGGTGGCTAGGAGATGTTAACGACCTCGCCTGGTATACAGGAGGACGTGGGTTCGATCCCGACCCTGACGCCTGCTGCTGTATATTTTGAGTTGCGTGATCTCTCTCTCATCATCACCACGGTGGCTAGGAGATGTAAACTACCTCGCCTGGTAACAGGAGGTCGTGGGTTCGATCCCAACCCTGACGCCTGCTGCTGTATATTTGGAGTTTGCGTGACTCTCTCTCTCATCATCATCACGGTAGCTAGGAGATGTAACTACCTCGTCTGGTGTACAGGAGGTCGTGGGTTCGATCCCGACCCTGACGCCTGCTGCTGTATTTGGAGTTTGCGTGACTCTCTCTCTCATCATCATCACGGTGGCTAGGAGATGTTAACTACCTCGTCTGGTGTACAGGAGGTCGTGGGTTCGATCCCGACCCTGACGCCTGTGTATATTTGGAGTTGCGTGACTCTCTCTCTCTTCATCATCACGGTGGCTAGGAGATGTTAACTACCTCGTCTGGTGTACAGGAGGTCGTGGGTTCGATCCCGACCCTGACGCCTGCTGCTGTATATTTAGAGTTTGCGTGTGTCTCTCTCTCTCCCCGTAGTCGCGTGGATTTCTCTCCGGGTCCTCCAGGTTGTCTCTCCACATTTAGAATCAACGTCACGCGTTTAGAGTATTTGGCTACTGCCAGTCAACATCACGCATCTCTGTGGGTTTC